TCTATTGACTCTAACCACTTTATTCACCGAACTCCAGAACATTTCCGAACAAAGGTATAGATTGTTGGTCTCAGCCTCCCCCACCTTAGTGCAAACCGCGCCTACTTCAGAAATCTGACCACATTCCTCCTATAACCTTTGACAACTCTTTCCCCTCTTTCTACAACGTTTCTGAGCAGAGCTATGAGTTCTGGACCTCAGCCTCGTCCAACTTGCTGCGACTCCGGTCACTTCAAAGTCTCTCTATTGAGCCAGATTCCTTCTACTACCTACGAAAACTTTTTTCCCGCGCGATAGACAGACAGAAAGACAGACAGACAGGCAGAGAGAGAGACGCGAGCGCTCCATATATAGCAAGGATTTCAACCCAGTCAAGTAATTTTCTGACTCTTTTATACATTCTGACTACGCCTGACGTGGTAGGTGGTGGCGACACTGCGATGTATAGTAGTGCTATCGTTATTTATTTCATTTTCCGAATTTCTTCCGAACTCTGAACCCTTATCCTGAATTGAGTGCCGCCACGTGTTGCAGTCGTAATCGCAAACCTTCTAGTCGCTTTGGTTTTCCTTTATTTATTTAATTATTTATTTAATTGTATACTTTTTTGTATTTTCTATTTTTTTTATCCACTTGATGTCTGAATGCTACATTTACTCAATCTGTATTAGTAGTTTCCGTTCAATGGCGCACATATGTACGTGCAATAAAGAAATAAATGAATACGTAAATAAATAGCTGCGGAATCTCTCGCAGGGCTCGAACGGGGAGCAGTCTAGAATTAAATACATGGGATTATTGTGAAAAAGAGTCAGCAGCTCTTCAGCGAATGGTGAGTAGTCAGCTGTATAGTTTGTTCTCCATGCATTTTTTGTTGTTTTATACGGGCAAGTGGTGATTTGAAGTGGTGTAACAGATCGTGCAATGGAAGCATGTAGAAAGTTATCTACTTGCAGAAGAGGGGTGGATGGACTACTCCCTCATGACTGAGATGCCGATTTCTGAGTTGATTCCATTAGCAGAGCATAAAGAACTTCAGCGGATAATATGAACAGCAAAGAGGTCCAGTTGCGATGTCAAGAGATGACGAGCCAAACATATGTACAGAGTGTACCAAAATTATGTGCGCAAAAATCTAGAAACCCTCTCAGGTTGGAGTGATTTATAATATTCCCTTCATCCGATATTAACTTGTTGTTTGAGAAGGGTTTTCTTGCAAAACACATGGTTACTGGGGGGAGACCCGAAATATCTTCTAGATGGAGGAGACTCAAACAATGCCACTTGCAATCATTGACACGCGAGAGGTGCAGAGGCATTGTAAAATTCCTTGAGGTTTCCAAAATAACCGCATAGAAGGCTAATAAATTATACAGAAAAGAAGATTGATTTGGAGACAAACCAGAAAGAGGCGGGAGAGCTAATCTTTCTAAAGATAGGACTATTGAAATGGTCTGTCTGAGAGACGGTCGTGATCCTGGGTGACCCATGAAAAGGAAGTCAACGGGAACGCTTATCGAAGTTCTCGCGGTTGAAAAATGTCATGCAGAATTTTCATTGTCACTCCTATCGTAGACAGAAATCCCACCTCATTTCTGGTTTCAGAAGACAGAGTAGGGTGGAAAAGTGCAGAAGGTTGTTTACTCCTTTCAGTTGAGACCTGCATCTCTGCGTCATTTTCTCTAGCTCAAAAATTTTTACGCAGAAACCATTCCTCAAAAATAAAACGTTCGAGTTCCGCGTAGAATTATGTGCAATCTCTCACAAAAAAGCTACTATAAGAACAGCAAAATGGTGTTTTTCGAGAGAGTCACTGACAAGGGTAAGGCGCCAGTGGTCTCGTCGGTGCCGGCGTGAAAATTCAGAAATACCTGTGCTCAAAGGGTATACTGAAATATGTAGTGAAGAACTGCACCAACTCTGCTCCCTGAAACAGCTCGTAGTTCTCCTAGCAGGATGGTACTCCAGCCCACAGAGTTGAACTTGCTGGGTAGAGGTGTCGACATTAGCTGCCTGACTTCATTAGCAAAGAGCGACGGCCATCTTGCTCTCCAGATTCAACTCACTTGACTCCTTCGTATGATCCCTAATTAGAAGAGGACCTGTCGGGCTTCCACCCCAGGTTGGAGTCTTAGAAAGCAATACTCAAAAAAGGCTGGGAAGAGATGGGGGAGGATTACTGCATCAATATGCGAGGTGTTCTGGAGCAAACTTTGTGGCCGTATCCACGCTCGTAGAGGGTATTTTGAAATGTGACTGTAGTTGTAACACGTGAAGTAAGCAAACGTGTATATTAAGATTATATTGTCATTCTCAGCTGAGAAGCTCTGAATAACGCATGAACTGGCGTCCATAATTTTAGGACACCCTGTACTGGTCTCAATATAATTTTCATCAAAAACTGCCTTCAGTGTATGAGTGAACGGGAGAGGATTTATTGTTCCAGGTTATTATGAAACAATAAAGTTGCTGCTCTGTTCTAAGTTCAGAAGATAGCACTGTTTCCTAAACAAAATCCATTCAATAAGGTTAGGACCCGGACTATGGTATAGTATAGTGCTAATACGTTTCAGTTGTGATCAAGGTGCCAGTTTTCGGAATGTATCGGAAGAATTAGAGGAACGGAAAATTTTGGACTTATCGACTTTTTTCGATGCACTTCTAACACTTTTTGAAATCGTACTTTGTTACTGGAGCTGCTTTCGCCTAACGCTTTTTGAAATCCTAATTTGTTACTGGAGATGCTTTTGCATCTAGAAAGGCGAGCTTATGGAACAGATCAACTGATATATTTTGTCCAAAAGGAGGGATTCTCAGACTGCGTTCCATTATACCTATTCGTCGCCGCTCCATCGAAAAGGCATTGGACACCGCTTGATTCACAGAAATCACACACAAAAACAAAAATTCCGTGTGGATCTTGGCTCTCACACCAATCCAGCTATAGAGCTTATCGAAGCAATGATCGCAAAACAATGCTGACCCCCTAGCTACCACGACACCCGCCCCGTGTCCTCGCCTATTAAGGAAGGTCTTTCAGGGCTTGGGACGCTTTTCGAAAATAGTTTTTTGCATAGTGTAGGGGCATGAGCACTGAGTAAAGAACTATGGCACATTTCCGCTAAATGGCCTTCCGAATGCCAAAAAAGGAGTGAAGGTGACTTTGTCAGAAGTTGCCGTTTTAACCCACTAAGCGTCATTTGTTTCATTCATGGCATCGACTGTCAGCACGGTAGAAGGCGCCAGTGGACTGCGCATTGAAAATAGCGTGAACGGTAGCCAAAAAAGGGAGCCACATGTTGAAACATGTTGAAATGTGAGGGGAAATTACATATATGCTCTCCGCGGTTAAACTGCTGGCAGCGGCGAATGGTATGGTGGATAGCGAGGTGGACTTTGAGTTGGGGCGACCAAGCTAGGTTGATGGTACGGATCCTGGAGGCGTTTCCGGTTTTGCATTTTATGCTGCCACTTCTAGATTGACTCCATATCTCACCAGGACCAAAGCAAGTGCCTAACTGGTCATGGTCGTGACCAGGACCAGCGATAACCTC